AGTAACTGATTGTGTTATGTATCATGCCCTAACGCTCTTTTTTTCTTCTGCATACCTCAGGCATTTTCCCCTGAGAGCAGCCTGGGCAGCAGCAGGGGGAGCACTGAGAGCACAGAACACTGTCACAGCTCTTCTGTCCCTGGCTTGACTGCTGCAGCTGCTGGGGACAGCCGTGGCAGAGATCAACCTGCTTATCCTAATTTATAGAAGAGATTCAGGAACAGTTTCCTTCTCTATTAGTTCTTAGTATAATGTCAAAATAGAATACTAGGTAACAGAACTGTAATTTTTTGGGTTTTGTTTTTTTTTTTCACAGTGTAAGGTACATGTCCTTTGAGCCAAGGGCAGTTAGAAGCACATCTCTATAGACATGACAGAAAATACATGTTTGACCAATTATTTCTGCAGAAGAAACTTCCTACTGACCTCATTGTTTCAAACTGAGTGGCAACATTTGGCTTATCAAATGTCTGGTTGCTTTCTGACTCCCGTAATCAGAAGGATATTGCCTTCTGGATTTCATCTTTGCTGCTCCATTTAAAAATATTTTCTTACAAAGATAAATGATAAGTTAATGTTCGTGTCTCCAGAGCTATGATGCAATAGCAAATGGTAAATGTCCTGTTATTTTGTACCTTTAAGAGTTTGCTAATGCTGTTTTGCTCTAGCAGATACTGTTTGAAAGGGTATGTGAAATGCTTCTGCAAATGGACGATATTATAAAAAAAGCAGATACAAGAAGGAAAGGTTTTGATGTGTGGTTTTAGGTTTCACTGGACTAGTACGGGAAAGTCTCCTATGTATTCTGAAACAAAGGAATTGGGTCCTATTTTTCCTAGCAGTGGCTGCTTACAAATGTCAAGGCATAAAGCAGACCAGTCTTCACTAAAAACTGAGAAAAAGAGGGACAGAAAGGAAATGTATCATTTACTGTATTCCTTGAAAAACACTTGTGCAGGTAATAATACGTTAGATAGAAAATAGTTAACATCTATTGAAAGGAAGGCCATATATGAAGGTATTTGTGTATGTTTTATACATGGTGTACAGCTGCTGATCCGTAAACTTGGTAACTGTAAGTAATAGTTAAGAATAAAGCTGCTCTCACCTTCTCTTGCTGTTGACTTAAGAGTAGGATAGACTTTCTCTGCTTTTTTTGTCTGTAGTCATCATTCTCTCTGCTGATAAATATTCCTCTCTTAGATCAGGATGGAAGTTCCAAGTTATTGTGATAGACAATCTGATACACATACATGTTTTGGAGAATCAACAGCATCTTTATAAATTGTCCTTAAATCTAAAGTAGCCTAGTGTGCAGATTTTACCTTTTATGTAGATGAAGACATGAAGAGGAAGGCTTCCGTACCTAAATTTGGAAGACATAATTTAAATATACATTAAGGGTGAAAATGAGAGGTGATGTGAGAGGCTCAGTAGTGTCTGAAGAATATTTGCCACTAATTGTAGTGGTCCAGTGTTCTTATGCTAGATCTTACTACTCTCTCACTGCTGTATCATTATTATTCTCTCTTTACACAGAGAAGTTACTTTGTTAGTCTCTTACTACTGCAAGAAATGTCCAATACATGATTCAGTGTTCCAGTAAAAAACAGAACTTTTAATAAGTCTTTAATTCTCTCTATTAATATCTTGTGATTACAAAATTTTCCTTTTGCGTATCATATCTAATATTATGTCAGGTTTCCTGTTCTGTTTGACAATATATGTTGCTTGTGCCTCTTCTGACTTAGGCAGAAGTTCCCTTACTGGAGCTTAGTATTGCAGTTTACATCAACTTTGCCATTTCATAATGTCTAATTCAATTAATTGAGTAACTGTGATTTTCATGGCATTTTAAAACTATATTTGTTTGGGTGGTTTTAACTCAAAACAGGCATAAATAAGAGGTTCTAAATTGTGCCTGTGTTTCTTTACTTGACAGAAATATCTTCTACTCTATTTATTTATTTATTTTCTGAGAAGTGGGCATAAATAACTTTGGTTTTACTAAAACTCTCCCTACAGGGCTATATCAAGGCTTCCCAGTAGCACACACAGAATTAGATTTTCATGTTCAAAGGATCTCTAAGGAGGCAAAATTAAATTACACAACAGAACAGGAAAAATTAGGGAGTTCTGGGAAAGGAATGAAGGCTGTGAGAGAGTAACAGGAAATTGTGCTCTAGGTTTGGAGTCTTATGGGTTTGTGTGACAGTCTGAGCTCTGTGAATTGATTCTAGATTTTTCTGTACCTCATCTGCCTCTGCCAGACACATCCCTCTTCCCAGGGTGTGCAACCCCAGACTACCAAATTTGGGGTACTTGTGACCCCTTTCTGTCATGCAGCTATTAAGTCTTTCCTTCCTCTTTGCAAATGCAGCTCTCTTTCCCTACAGTAATTCCCACATATCTCTCCCATTGCCTGGGAAGAACTGGGCTTCTGTCAGACAGGGATGGGTGAGAAAGGTGATGGCAATAAGTGTTTCTTCACCCTCCAAGTAGACTTTTCCTAATGGTTCTTTTTTAGTGCTTTATTGGTGTCAGAAATGTGGGCAAGTATAAAAAGAGCCATCCCTGCTCTGCAGTAGTCTGAATTAGTGTGTATTATGTTCATACCTGCATTGTCTAGTTGCATGAGAGTGCCAGTTTATTCCAGTCATGTGTCTAATGAACTCTGGCATTGACTGATCCTTTTTTGAATGATCAGGAGATCTGGCTATATACTTTCCACTTCCTCTCATTCATATTGACATTAAATTCCTGTGATTAACACTCTATCTTAGGCTAATTATATAAAATACATTTAGCAGGAATATACAACTCTCATTCTGCTTGTGTATTTGTTTTTACCGTTCAATAATTGTTTGGCATGGGTTTTTTTCACTCTGTACCTGTAATAGCTAAATACTCACGTGCTCCCCCTTCATTGCCTCTATTGTAATTCATCTTCCTTTAGTTGTGTTGAATATTTCTCGTTTATATTATGTGTGATTTTTACCTTTACCAGGTGCACTGACATTTTTATATGACTTTGGTCTTCATTCACTTCCATCGGCTTGTAAGGTCACAGCTAATGTGTATTACTTGCTTTACTGTGCTGAGCACTGCTGCAGTTTTTGGCTTTGTTCTCTAGGGGGCAAGAAGTGCTTTATTCTCTGGTACAGAAATTCTGAGATTTAAGATACAAGTGTAGAGCAGCCACCATAGAAGATGGCATTATAAATAGAGGGGAAAGACCTCTAGTCTGCTTCCTTTGTCTATGCAAATACCTAGCAATAATAGTCTTTCATGACCTACACTCTGCAGAATTAACCCAATCTTTTTAATAATCACTATGAGAATATTGGTTGCTATGGCAACATATTCTGTGGTACTACTAGAGTGTCAAAATAACCTAATGAAATACCGTACTAAGAATGTTTTAGAAATTGACTTCTAAAATAAAAAGTAAATAAATCCACCTAACTTTGCAAGATATGGCCAGATCCATGAAGTCTGCAACAAGGGAACAACCATTTCCTAACCAAGGGGAAGCAGAATAGTGCAGTGGGATCTATTGTGGTTCTAATCTTTGATGCATGACTTGAGATAGAATTTAGAAATATTTTCCCTGCTTAAATTAATGGTTTACTAACAAATTTTGTGTTAAGAAGTTAGCACAAGAGTCAAGAGTTAAATGGCCCTCAGATACTACACAATTTGAGTTAGTGCCTGTCTTTGTGGTGCCTGTGCTTTTTCTACAGCTTCTGTCAGTTTGTGTTTATCTTTAGAGCTACTGCTGTTTCTCTACTTCTTTTCCCCTCTACCTTTCTTTCACTTTTCTATTCCCTTCCATGCAACAAACTCCATGCATTTCTTTAGTCTATTGGCTAAAATAATCTTCAGTTAAGTGTTGAGGCTTTTCAGATGATTTTTACATGGAGCCCATTGCAGTGCTTTAGAGTTAATGTTACTATCAGATTGATAGCTGTGGTCAGCCATTGCCTCAAACAGTGCTATTCTGGTCAAGCAAAAATCCAGCCACTTCTGAAAGAAGCATTCCTAAAGACAACATTTAGTATCTGAGTATCAGGCAAGCTGCTCAAGCAAATTTGAAACAGGCTGGAACACCTATTCCATATACCAATTTAAATAGGGACAAAGAATTAAGGTGTAAAAATTACTTTTTTCTTTTTCTTTTTTTTTTTTTTTGTAACAATTTGTATTGGAATGAGATTTTAAAATTCATTCATTACTGGGTTAACTTTCCTCCTTCTTCTCCCACAATTAATAAAAGTTGCCACTGCAATTCAGTTGGCATGGACTATCCTGTGTAGCAAAATAACATAAATATGTGGCAATTGACCACTGTTCCTAGTTCTGTCTGTCATAGAAAATTAGGATACTGATTTAAGCAAAAATCAGCATTTTCCCCTTATTGCTCAGATCAATATGTAAGCCATGGTGTTCATAAGTCAATGACTATTCCTGATACTTTTCATCCCTTCCAGACTATAAAACAAAATAATACAGGTCAATGTTTAAATACATCTTTTGCCTACAAAATAGGGTAACACATTTATTGCTGAGAAATGTAATGCAAAAACTGAAACCTCATCTTTTGATTATTTAGTATTTTTTGTCTGCAAAAACCTTGGACCCATCCAGGCAAATGTTAGTTTTTATTCTTCGTGGAATATCCTAAACTTAATGATACAGCAAATTTTAAAGTGAAGTGAAGTAGAAATTGTCAATTTCTTGATAATAAAGACAATAAATATTTTCAATGTGTATTAATATGTTCACTCAAGTTTAAAGTATAATTGTGGATAACTGAATATGCACCTTCCTTAGAAAGTATTATTTTCATACAGCAGTTTAACAGTTGAGTGGGTACTTTGTATTAAAATAGTTTATCTTTTAGAATTTGTGAATGGGACATTCTTAAGTCCATAAGATAAAAAAGTTTCTTTACAATATATCACTTGTTTAACTCGAAAGTATTGTTTCTTTATGCACAGAGGCCTTCTTCAATGCGTTTATCACCAAGGGAGGAAGAAGATGATGATGCAGCTGAAAATACTTGTGGACCTTCTGGCTTATGGGAGGCACTGACACCTTGTAATGGATGCAGGAACCTCGGGTTTCCCATGCTTGCACAGGTATGTGATTTCCTTTTCATCATAAAACTTAGTAACTATGGAAAAGCTGCTGAATCTCTGCCTTAGCCCTTAGAGTTATTTAAAGTGTTGCCTGATTCCCGTCAAAATTGCTGCTTTCACTCTTCATTTGAATGTCAAAAGCTGGTTCCAAAATTAAATGTTGAGATTTGGTCATCCTGCTATAATACTTATTGATATCAGTTTAATATGGAGACTGATGTTTACTGCCCCTGCTCTAGATAGATGCTGTGCTAGGTAGCTTTCTTTTCCATCTGGAAAGAAATTTTGAAGTCACATAGTTTCCTTTGGGATAAGTACTCTATTTTTGACCAGCTACTAATTAATAAAGTGACATCTCAGCTACTTTCTTTATAGAATTAATTGAGGACATCATGCATAACTCAACTCATGTAAGAATATAGCCTAAGACTTCTCATTGAAGATTATGTAATTTAAAGAAAAAAATCCCCAAATGTTTTCAAATGCACATCATAATACAGAAGAGAATAAATAGAAGTGGGTAATATATTTGGGTCTAAGTCCCAGCAACTCTCAGAGCAGATCAGTCTGCAGTATCTACCAAAGCATTCCAGCAGCTGTGTCCTGAACAAGTGATATTATATTGCTACAGAACAGGATGATGCTTATTGCTGCTTCTGGGTCTCCCTTGTTCTCTCCCCCCACTATAAATTAGCACTCTCGTTTCTGTAACATTTTTCCTGCACTTTTTGTTTTGTAGCATTGAATGAAGACCTGCCAAATTTCTGTTTAGAAGTGTCTGTTTTTTTCAGTTGCATCCTTACTTGGCACTGCATTTAAATAGCTCTGTCAGATTCTTGTGTACCACACTGGAATTACATATCCTGTCTCACCACACTTCATACACTGTTGCTTTCATACCGTGACTGTACGTTTTATTCCCCTTAAGTCTCACGGGACTTGCACCTGTTAGAAGTCAATGCTGAAGCCTTCCCTGCAGTCAATGGAAACAGGATATGGCCACTCATGTGCTTGAATAACAATAAGCACTGCCCTGTCTCTTGATAAAGAGCCTTTATATTCCTTTCCCCTTTCAGTAGCTGTTTCCTACTTCATACTATCCATCATTTTAGACATTTGGCAAAGTGCAGAGCTGTTGGAATTATCCTGATTTACAATAGGAGTACTATAGTTACTAATTCCTCATTTTTAAGCATTTGTTTCAAAACATATTTCTTAAATAGTACTTTTCTTGTTTAAATATCACATGTGGTTTAATTATTCTTAAACTTTCCTATGATGAACATACATGCTGTTTTTATTTCCTAATTTTAGAAAATATTTTTGTTTTCCTTGTTTCTTTTTTATGTAAGGTATACGTAAAGGGTGCTATAAAATTGAGGGATGCCTTTGAAAAGTGGAATCAAGTGTGGTTGATTGGTATGTCTTTCCTATTTACAAAGAGAGATTCATTTCAACTGTGATGTACGTTTTAAGATAGTGATTCCTGAATTAGTTTTTTCACTGTACTTAAATTTGAAGCTCAGACTTATGATATCACATACTTTTTGGTCTGAGAGCAATAAGATTTTTAATTATGAGTACAAAAAAGAGTATGTTTATTATGCTTTCATTTATGATATGACAGATTGCCTTTCTAGATTGTTTCTATCCATAAAAAATGATCACAGAGATAGTTTTGGTCTTTTGTTGATTTCTTTTTATGGGAGAAAGAAAAGAAAGTAGGTAGTGAAAAATCTCCAAACTAAAAACCAGTGACTTTGGTTTTTACAAACTGTTGCAGTCAATGCATGCAGTTTTTCAAGCTGTTAGCTAATCTGTTGGATCTTCCACATTTACTTCAGAATACAGCAGAGAACATCTTGTTCTAAGGTTTCAAAACACAAAGTATACATGTAAGTTTCTGGATTAAGAACAGCATCTGGAATCTAAGAAATTATATATTATGTGCAACAGCATGTTTTAGGTAAAAGTACAAAAATATGTTTCTGATACTCATGTCAGTGCACAAAAGTATCAGAAAGTGCAGACTTCATCATGAAAAAATAGTGAGATAAGGGTATTTGACATGGTGTCTTAAAATTCATACTCTCCTAATGGTCCAAAAATAGGGAAAAGGGTCTATCAATTACTCTTTAACACAAACTAGTTCATTTTTACACTTCTCCTTTGTTTAAAAATAGATTTTACAATCATATAAATATATTGTGCTTGTACATCAAAGGTGAACAAACATAAAGATTGATTCTTGCTTTATATACACAGTCAGAGGCACAATGATAACATGAAATTGAGTTTTAGGTGAGATTATGACAATGTCCATCTGTGACCTAGTGAGCTAACAGTTTTCAATATGCCAAAGGAGAGGACAGTAATTGCCTTGACAAGCTTGGTTTCTTTCCTGCAGATAGAGAAAAAAGCTTGTCTGGAGGTACTTTTAGCATGCAGCATGTCATTGCTGTCTCTACTGTGCTAGCAAGTGTCGTTTGAGAAAGGGCTATTATAGAAAGTTCTCTGTAAAATGTTATATCATTTAAAACCTTGCATAGCAGTAATACAGCTATTCTCAGAACAAGCAACTCTCTTTTACAGTCTCAGAAGTGGTGAAGTGCTGGAAGAGCTTTATGGAAAAATCTTTGTTCTGTGTAAGAATTTCAGGGGTTTAGAGAAAGAAGCTGGATTTTTGGAGATTGAAATTTAGACGCGTCTTCTTAAATTAGCAGAGTGTATTCCATTTGTAGGTTATGATTTAGGGTTAATTTGGGGCTGTTGCTTTGTTCCGGAGTTAATCTTTGGTTTAGGGCAGAAATTCGGTACCCACATACATATTCACATTTCCTGGAGAATAAAGCAGCATACTCTGAATGCATATTATTCTATTTTCTTTTTCATGGATAGCATACCTTGAATATTTCTCTGCTAAGGGGCAAAGAGGGCCTGATGTACAGAGGTAAAAAGAGGGCGATCTGCACTTTCAGAGAGATGAGTGCTGCAGAATCCTATATGATCCCTCCAGTATTATCAGTTTAAAGCAAGCAGTTCACACACCTTATTATGACAGCCATACCAGCATATTTTTCTAATTATGATATAAAGTAATTTTGAGATAAGACCTGTTTAGCTCTGTCCCATTTAGGGTGCTGCTGGGTCAGCTTGGCTGGACTGTGTCTTGAATTGTGTTGTATGTATAACTTAAAAATCCTGACAGTTATTCCACATGTTTGACATGATGACAGCCAGGAACACCTCATTTGTCTAACTGTTATGAAATGAAAATGATGTCTGTAAAGAGAGCAGTGCAGTTGCTATGGAAAAATTGAACTTTGATTCAAAAGCCGTAAGTATAAGTCTTCATGTTTCCAGTTGCTGGGAAGCATGGCTCTTCTCAAAAATATATGGAAAGTTTACATAAATATTTAAATGCTATGTTTCTAGCTTAGTGTCAAGTTTTCATCTTTTAAGAGGGAATGAACTTCTGGGAGACCTTGACATTTTCCTTTAAGACTAATGAATATTCTGCTTATATAACTCTAGGATTCCTAGAGGTAGGAACTCCAGCAACTTTATCATGGGTTCTCCTGTGGAACAGAGACTTTCCCCCCAAAATGCCTTTTTATTTAGAGGGAGGGAAGAAAAAGTGGACTCCTAACTACATTTTTAGGAGATAAGAGCTGTATGTAATAGTTTCTTTATCAATACGGGCTATGGTGGGAATATTTAAAGTTTGGTGCATCTGTTAATAGGATTATGTATTTCGTGTCTGCCTTCCAGAAGATCATTTTGCCTGTCTGTACTTCTTTTTGTAAATTTAAAAAAGTAATTTTTAATGGGAAGAAATATTGTATACTGTTTGTATTGTAGAAGCTAGTTAAGGTTGTTCTGTAGAAAGCCCAACATTGAATATTATTATGTTGCAATTATTTTTACATTTTCAAAGTTGGCTCAGGATACATGAGAGATGAATGGGGTAATTAAGTAAGGAACTAACTCAATTTTCACAAAGAGATCAAATCTGCTCCTAAAAAACCCTCTGTACTGATGCTCTCATGAGAGAGGCATGCTGCCTCTATGATGTCTCCTTCTGAAGAATTTTAATATTGGAAATTTTATTTGGCATTATTTGTTTTAATTTTAACATATTCTTTCAGTTTGAACTCCCTCCATTTTCAGTTACCTCAAAAATTTTCTTAGATTTTTAGCTTGGTGTGAATGTTCGAGTAATTTTTGAACTTCTAAGGTGCAGGGGAGGTAGCAGAGAAGAGGAAGTATTTCTCCTTTGTTTTTTAATAAAATACAGAAAAAAACAAAGAACATGTTTTAATTGAACAATAATGGCTAAAATGTTTCAGCTTGATTTTTCAGTCCATTAGTAACTTTACCTTTCAGTGCATTCAGTGGAAGCACATTTCAAACTAGACTGGTAAAGCACATTTGGCTGATCTTAAAGTTTCTCCAAAATTAGTAACAGAAAGTCTTGTGGCTTTACCTAAAAATGTGTTCTGTGTTACAGGGGAGGAGACGTGTCTCCTTGTTTAGTGATGATATAGACAAAGCAGAGAAAGCTTTGGCCTAAAATATACCTTAGTATGGATAGCCAGAGTTAGATTTTTATATTATCTATAATATTTTCCTATAGTTTCTAGCCTTCAGTGAAAAACATTTTTTTTTCTTCCTAATTTAGTGGATTAAATGATGAGTTTACTTAAATGGGAGTAACATGGAAAGCTCTACTACCCATAAAAAATATTTCTGTTAAACTCCTGATTTGCAGTGTTGTCTCTTTTGCAGTAAGCTTAAGTCTTATTAGTAATCTCAGGAACACACACCCACACACTGAAGCAGCTACTGAAAAGTGCAATATGTATTCTGCCTAGAAAGAACCAGCAGGTGATGATTATACCCTGCTGAACAGTGATAAAAAATAAGTATATTGAAAAAATTGTCACTTATTTTAGTGCTATGCTACATTTTCTGATGTGCTTTAAGGAATGGAGCTGAAT